GGGGGGATACAGGAGTGTTTCTGTGTCGAGCTGCTCTTTCTCGTGTCGCACCGGGGTGCACTGTGCAGTTTGCCTTTTTGAAAGCTGAGTTGTTGTTTTTGTGTTAAACTCCTGGCGCCCTTCAGATCACTTTTTGATTTTAATCTCCTAATTACGTGCTCTCGAGCCCAAAGGTGTTTTAAAAGTTATAAAATATCTCTTTTGCCATTTTTTGTTTTGGTGAGCAAGAGGTTGTTTTGCGTTTTTTTTTTAATCTTTCAGACAAAGAAGACTTCGTAGTACTGTTGCTCACAAACAGCTCCAAGCTTCATACCCTTGTGACAGATTTGGATTTTAAACAGTGCCTTTTGCCCATGCTTGCAACTGCGTAAGTATCTCTGATAGTTCACTCTTTATGTTTTGACATGTAACTAAGCTACAATACTGCAAAGTGTTCCAGAAAGAAGCGTGATATTTTTGTCTCAGATGGCTCTAAACCAAAAATCCACAAAGTATCTAGTTTATTTTGTGTCATGTGCTGGAAGATTTTAGGCTTAGAAATTCCACATTATACTTTCACCTGGTTGTTTTGAATATGCACTTTGATAGTCTTGGAAAGTGGAGATTATTAACTCCTTGCCTGAATCTATTGGGACCTTACTTCTAGCAGAGAGGAAGTGATAACTTGTCTTTTATATAGATACGTTATTTCATTCATTTTTGTATTTTTATATTATTGCTTTTATATGAAATCATTAAAACAGAATTATTTGTAAATTAAATCTTGATTTGTAGTCCCATATTTAAAAAGGATAAGATGCACTTTTCCTCTTTAATGTGCAGTAGGCAATAATTTACAAAAATCTACGAGTAAAGCAGGATAGTGAAATTGATTATCATCACAGTGTTATCAGCAACAACTATAAAAAAAGACATATTGCTCGTCTTTCTTTTAATCATTGCGATTTTAAACATGTTCTGAAAATGGCTTGTTTCACTACAGGTAGCTGAAATATTTCTGGAAAGGTGAAATTAGCTTAAGTGAAGAATCAGACAGTTCACTCTGTTCAGAAAATGTGAAAGCTGTAGCCCTATTGTATACAAATGAAAGTTTTCACAAAAAGTGTTATGAAGGTATTCCAGCACTTTGTTTTCTAGCTGTGTGAATTTTTATATAGTAAGCATCAAAGGACACATTTGGGAGGGTCGTGTAACTATATGGAGGAAGTTTATATCTGGGAACACTTGTCACTTGCAAGTAATTAGTTGTGGAGGTCTATTTTGTTTGGGTTTTTTTTTTTTTTGCTAGCTCTCTTTTTTTGCTTCTGCTTCTTAAGGACACAAAATGTCTGAGGTTAAGCAGAGGAAAAGAGGTATTTCTTCTTCCAAGACCAATGAAGATTCACAGAAGGCCAAGAAAGACAGTAATCGTGGGAAGCTGGTAAATCCCAGGACTAGCAATAATCAGATTTCCTCTTGGATAGACTCACGGACAGCCTTGAGCCTAATATCCCTTGCCGTTTGCCTGGCACTGACCTGGTAGGTAATCCTCTGTAGTGGATTTCATCACGTTCTTTCGTATTCTATGCTATGTTCGGTCATGGACAATGTGATTAGTAATATTTGAACACAGCATTTGAGTGAAGAGCATATACTTCATAGGAACATATTAAAGCTAGAAAGGGTAAAGAAAAGAATAGTGATAATCACAAGAAGTGTGGAAACCCTGTCATACAGTGAGGGGTTATAGAAGCTTGATCTCTTTTGTCTTGCTAAAAGCTTAAAAGACGCCTTGCTCATGAATTGTAAATACCTGCTTGGGAGACTACATCTAACTGTGAAGAGCACCTTAATCTGACAAAAAGTGCAAGGCTCGGTGGGCAGGGAACAAATAAATCGTCAGCAGAAATGAAGTATGGTTTTATGTAAGTACTTTGCTTAGCAATGTGGCAAATTGCTCATCGAGTAGAGTCTTCCAAGTAAAGATCAAATATCCTTGTAAAAGGTGTTCTAGAATATCTTAGTGTCATCGGTATTTTAGTTCCATCAGAAGCTATGAGCTTCATGCAGAAATGCTATGATGAAATTCTCTAAATTCTAGTGCAAGAAATGAGACCGGATTATTACGCTCTTGACTTCACTCTCCACGTTTTGGCAAAATTCGTACTTATTTTAATATCACCTAGATTTCTTTATGTAAATTTTTGAGGAATAGAATGTCATAGTAGAAAAAAATGATTAGTAATGCCTCTGCTTAATCTATTTTACAAATCCATTTACGTTTGTTTTGCATCTATCTATATATAGGTAGTGTTTTAGCTTTTACTGCATAGCTTAATCTGTACAGACTGTATTATAGATCTTTTGAAACTTTTACTTGCATTTCAATTAAAATAAACAAAAACAACTATCAAATTACAAAACCAAAAGTAAAGTAAAATTTTTAAATAGTGTATTGTTCTAGATGCATTTGTTCTCATCTGAGAGGATCCTTGGATAGTCTGCCTAGGTCTGCAGTATACCTTGTTTTGGGATTGATAAACATCCATCAAATTCAGTTTTTTGCTCTATTGTCTCATTTCCTTTGTAACTGGACAAAATGCTGACAGTTCAGCTACCACGGTCACAGTTAACAAATATATCATATATATGAAGTGCAGGATTGAGATTTCCACTATCGGTATCTGTTCACAAAGCTAGTATCATCACAACAACAGCTATTCACGTTTTCCTACAACACACCATAGGTTCTTGGATGGTTACAATTAAACAAAATTAGAGCTAGCCAGCTTTTCTAAATCTAAAGTTCCTTTACATGATTTTGTGATGCCTTGCAAGAGTCCAAATTGATTTAGTTGTGTTTTAATTCCAACAGATAAATGATACTTTTCAATAAAACATACCTTGCTTATGAGGCAATGCATTGTAAGCATTTAATGGCCTAAGAGCGTAAGTAGTATTTTTGTCATTTTTACTGTTTGATAGGCATGCTATGTAAAATGAGGCACACCTCCTAATGTTTTCTTGTTTTTCTGTTTCGATTGGAAGCTGTTAACTCCAGTAAACTTCCTTAAACCCTGTTTTTTCCCCTCATATATTGATTTAGCAAATTTCATTAATGCAAATCCCTGCATTAACAGATCCCTGTGAAATCAGGTCCTATAACACTTAATATATGCCAATTATATAATTTATTTACTGTTTATTTATTTACAATTTGCAGGTTCCTATTTCAGCAGACAAGTCAATTTGCTGATATGGAAAAAAAGTATAGTTTCTTGCAGCAAGAAGCTGAAAAATTCCTGGACATGGAAAATAAAGTTAACTTAATTTCTGAAAAGGTAATCATTAACATTTTAATTGGATAATCTGTGAACGTTTGCCAATATGTTATTTCACTGTCATTTAGAAAAATGTAACTGATTTTTTTTTTTTTTTAGATAAACATTTATAATGGGTTCTAGTTGTCTGCAGGTAGGCCTTGTATAAGTATTTCATTGAAACATTTGTGAAGAAAGCTCAGGCAATCAGGTCTGACTTCTGATATGTTACAGTTTTTTTTTTTTACTGATTTGCCACTGAAGCTTGGTCAAGTCACTTTGACTTTCTCTGTCAGTTCGCTACATGTTTAAAATAGAGATAAATGTAATTATCTACTTCTGTAAAGTGCTTAGACTATGATAAAGAATGCTGTGAAGCACTATATATTATACTTGCAGCAGGACAACTAATAAAATTTAGAGGCTGCGCTGCTTAGAATCAGTTATTTAAACACTTGATTGATCATGTGTTTGTGTTAGAATATCAGCCTTACTGAAAAGCATTAATGAGGAAATGGTAGTCCTGGTGACAATAGTGGCAAAACTCTTACTGACTTTATCAGAACTAGTGTTTCACCGAACACATGTCCTTAGTTATTAGTATGTTTTTATTCTTCGTTATTGTTGTCCTTAAGACTGTAAATACTCCTTTTTTAGCAAGTGTTCAATTAAAAAGAAAATTTAGGTGCCTTAGGAATCAGATTTGTCTTAATTTTATCAATGTGACTGTGTCAATCCACACAATTGTTTGTGGATGTTAGTACAGTGATTATATCTCAGTATATTTTTGCAGACACTAAACTATTTTAAATAATTTATGCACAAACTTCATTCTGCCAGTACTGTTTTGCATGTAATTCAAATGTACATTGATTGGAAGAAAATTTACAAGGATTTTTAATAGTAGATCAGCCTGAATAATATGAAAGACATACTGAAGGAGCAGTTAATATTTTTTTCCCTTGCTACTTTATTTTCCTTTCTGTGCATCCCATTAGCAAGCAGAAAACTTAGTTTGGCTGCAGAAGTATCCCCTGTATATTACAGATAACAATGGGAGTACAGCATGGCTTACGCCAGTACTTTTAGCACTGATCTCATAATGTTGTCATTTATACATAATATGATTTGGATATTTATATACTGCACTTTAGACTACATAAATTCTGTGGAACATTTTGCAATATGGTATGTTTTACCTCAGAAGATCACTGAGGAAAATAAGGGATTGACAAAAAAAGAGAATGGCATGTATTCTCTAGAAAGATAGCAACAAACATACTCTTTTCTGTGACTCTTGCATGTTAGATTACTCAGCAACAATATTTTGAAGATGAACTGTGAAAACAAATAGTATTATAGGAGCTCTGTAACAAGTGGAATGGCTTCTAAGGGACTGAGTCTTGCAAATCTTCTTTACCTTATGTTAAATAAATGCAAGTGGTCTTCTAGTCTTACACTCATTAAGTAGATATGGACATTGTTTTGTGTTACAAATGCAGCTTGAGTCTTCTGAAAATATCCTACATGAAGCTACCTCCTCCATTTCTGTGGTGACTGAGTTTGAGCAGGAAATATCTTCTCTTCGTAACATCATAAATGATATTCAGAACAGTGAACAGACTCTTTCTATAAAGATGCAGAGCATTAATGAGACGTTCCAAAATATTACAGATTCTTGGAGAAGAAGCTTGGATGAAATGAACACAAACACTACTGGTTTAAAATCTGAAGCAAAGTTCATACATACAGAAGTTACTTCCCAAATTAATGAAATTGACCAAAGAATTAAATCCCTTTCTGAAAGATTAAAAGATTTGGAAGACAGTACAGCCAGAAATATTAGAACTGTAAAAAGGCAAGAAGATGATGAGTTCTCTAGAGTTGAACAGCAGTTGGACTTGCATGCAAAGACAGTTGAAAAACTAGAAGAAGAACAGAATAGTCTGTTAGCCAAAGACAGAAACCTGAATCAGAAACTTGCAGACTATGAACCCAAAATTGAGGAGTGCAAGACCCATTTGCCAACAATTGAAAATGCTATTCACTCTATTCTTAGATTATCAAGTGAAGTGCTAAGTATGGAGAAGAAGATAGAAGACTTGACAACACAGCTATATACTGTGGAAAATGATATGCTGAAAACTGCGTCTCATACAATGGAGATGCAAAAGGTTCTTGAAGGCATACAATATGATGACAAAGTTGAAACTGCAAAATGAAGTAGTGGTTTTAGAAGAAGTAGTACTTGACATGAAAGTATCTTCAGATACAAAAGAAATAACTGTTGAAGACTATAACTTAGAAAATGATCAGAATGAGGATAATATGCTAATTTGGACTTAGGGTTTTCATTGATGGAAAAACACTTCAATCAGTATAGACAATGTTTATAACAAGTAATAACCAAGAGGGCTGGCTGTCGTACATTAAGAATAGCTGAATATTGTCATCAATTGCAATGGACAATGGATCAGATTTAAATGAATGCTTATAATAAAGAGGAGAGAGAGCAAGATATACTGAGTTGGAGGAGGCAAGAGTTATTTTCAACATATTGAAAGTTCATTTTTATTAAAATGGATTTTGAAGCAAAGTATTTAGATTAAAAAATAAGAACTAGAAACATCAGATTGAAAATTATATTTATTTTTCTCTGCTTGGCTTTTTATGTTGTTATATTTTTGTTATTATATTCCATGGAGTTGTAACACAATGAAAATTTAAGTACTTGTAGATATATATGCTTGTAATGTATTATATACCATAATATTTGTTTGTGTTTACAGTACATAGTTCTAAGTGTCATAACTGTTAGTGGAATCTCCATATTTTTGTTACATGGAGGAAAGTGCACAGTAGTACATTTCTAACAGCTTATGCTGAAGCTTAGATATAACGACATTGTACAACAGAAGACACTAGCAAAGCACCCCTTCTTACTGATAACTCTTTCTTGTAACTTATATTTATAAACAGGGAGTAACATAGCAGCTGGTATTATCTTGCATTTTTGACCCTATACAAATGGCCTCATTACACCACACTTTTTGCCATTTCCTTTCTAAAGTCACTGTCATTTTGTTACGCCACTGAAGCCTTCAGACCATGTATGGACTGAAGTTCTCACTAACAGATATTCCTGTTAGTGTTCTCCTATCATTCCATAAGTGTTTAGTGTCATCAGTCACTTTATTAGATCTTTTGTACTCTTAGAAATAAGTTTTAACCTTTTCTTCTGCAGGATGTTCGCCGTTAGGCATTACCCAACGTGTGTGGTATTACTTTGCATTCTGAAGTGAAAAAAACTGTTAACAGTGTCCACTAACAGTATTTCCCAAACTTTGGCCAACTAAGCAATTAGTGGAAGCCATCGAGTCATGTACCTTCAGTATTTAAAAACAAAAAAACCCCACTAGTTTCTTCACAGGTCTGCTTACAACAGAGAGGATACTACATAATAGGCCTTCAATATATAGCTGTACACAGAAATTTGGATCTCAACACTGCCATACATTGGTGTCTACAGACTTAAATCTTGATAATTTCAAGTTCCTCATTTCTGAATTCAGGAAAAGAAGTTGCTTAGTAGATAGTATGAACGTACTGTGAATTAGATAGGTCTGAGTTAAATTACTCTTTTTTTGTATATTCATTTATCCAGAACTCTACTGAAATCTTCACTAAAGAGTTATTGCTGCACATTCAGGAGACTATTAAACTTGAATTTCTCAATATTATAAAGTCATTCAGAGTCTCATATACTTTCAGAATTACTTATGTATAGATTTGTCTTTATACAGTCATAATAAAAATATACTGTAGTAGATCGCCCTTTCCTAGTGCATAATCAAACTCTAAATTGTTCTTCCAGAAAAGAGTATGAAATACATACTTTCATGTTCAGTGTTTCATTAAAAACTGTTATTCAATACTGAAGTACTTTTTAAGTACTTTTCTTAAGTTTGTTCCACTGCGGTTTCATTTCATATATTTTTGGAGAGGGGTGGTTAAATTTACAATGGTATAGTCCCCATTTTAATATCTTGCATCAACCCAAACTCTACTGAAAGCCAGAATATATACCAAATCGAACAGGAAATCTTTGTCCTCAGAGAGCATTAACTAGGAAATGTGCCCAACTTAATTTTGGTATTGTATTTTTAAGGAAAACAGTTCTGTGCTAAATGAGGAATGGCCAATACTATCAAAAAGTCAAAAAATTGGTTTCTTTGATTGTAGGGGTTTTCAGAAAGGATTAGTATGATTTTGTGAAATGAATTACAGCCTCTTAGAGTATGTTTCAGCCTGCCCATTTGGTGTTTTTTCTCCGATTTGTACACTGGCTTATTAGGGATTGAGCAGAATAGTATCACTGATGCAAGTTCAGCAAGATCAATCCTATTCTAAAAACTTGATCAGCTGAGTAAAAGAAAGAGCATCATGGATGTGAATAATTAAAAGCTAAGGGCCATGTCAATATCAGTCATAGAAAGGAACCTAGATTAAAAATTGGTTGGCAGACAGCAGCCAAAGCTTTATACAGTGTCTAATGCCATTCCAATTAAAAAACAGAGTGGTATGTCTTTAAAAAAAAAATCTGTGTCAATTGCATTGCTCACCTTAATTTTAATTCAGTAAACATCTCTATTTGAGTATTTTTCTCGACATGCCAAGTCACAAATTTAGCAGCTTTTAGCAGTGAAGTGGCTGTTTCATAGTACTGAAGGTTTTTTTATTGGTCAATAGGGAAGTTCCTGGCAAGGAACCACTTTAATGAAGATGCATCTTGAGTTGTGAAATACCTATTAGTTGAGTACAGGTGCTTCAGTTCTTTAGAAAATAAGCATTGGTTTTTTTTTTTTTCTGCTTACCCCATCAGTTTGGTGATTACATTTTATTATATTTAATGGGGAACATAATTTAAAATAACGTTTGAGGGTGGCCTTGGTGGTCTTTTAGTGGGACATTGAGATACATTGAGAAACAGGTGCAGAACTGAATAAAGAATGTGACCGTAGTGAAGCCAATTAGAATAAAAGCACAGCAACAAAATTCCTCTAATAGATTCTCATTAAAAAAAATAAAATGATCTAGAACCTTGTGTTTAATAGACTAATAGTTTATAGTCTGAATCTTTGAATATTGTTATTATTATTACCAGAAAAAAAAATCATTTGTTAGGGAGAAAAGTACTGTGGTAGCTATGCCAGTCATATATTTGCTTGCAGCCTCCGTGTATATAAATCTTTAAACTTTTGAAAATCAAACTGTTAAACAGTTACTCTTCTGAAATGTATGTTTGAAGAGCGCACCTGCTCCTCTATTCCCCAGAGCCTGTATTTCATCTCCATTTCAGATTTATCTTTCTCTAGTCTGTTTTATAATTTGCAATCTTTGCTGCTTTGAAATTAAATTTAACCGTGATACCATAAGTATCACAGCCAGTTTAGACAGTTAGCCAACAGGCGTCATCATCTTTAAGAATCAGCACAATCTCAACCAGATTTCATTTTTTACTGAAGAACTGAGTGATAATCTGGATGACAGTAAAGTATATCGACATGTCAGTACTGTATTTCCTCTTATGGGGTATGAATAAGAGAAAGCAGATATTTCCCTTTCTTTCTCTCATATTTGAAAACCAAGAACAAATCATTAAAATACAAAAAGGTGAACTAGCAAATCTGCCTTGAACCAAAAATCCAACAGTAGCATCAACAGAGTAGTTTTTATGGAGGCAGGCTATTTTAAGTAATGTTTTTCCTCTTTTGCTGAGCTTTGTTGACTATTTAAAAAAGGGGGAAACATGCCCTCTTTAACTTTTAAACTCCAAAGCATAATTCCTCTTCTTTTTTTTTTTTCTTCTGTGAATATCATGTTCAGAATATATGTTATAATCACCAAAATTAAACACATCAGTTAATTATGGTCCACAAGTTTATGATAAAAGAACTCTAAAGTAGATGTCTCTCTAAAATGTTTCTAAACGTGTCTTTCTGTAGGACACAGGTTATTGCTTAATACAAAAATTTCTGCAAATAAGAAAAAATATTGCATTTGATGGCTTATGTTCTGACAGGTCAAGCTGGAAAGTCATATGGTATCGTCCTGTAATTTTTGTTGTAACAGAAAAAGTAGTAACATTTGAATTTGTTACACATACTGAAAGAAGAAAATGAAATGTTTGATTGTGTTGCAAAAGGTTATTTCCTAAAGACAGGGTTTGCTCTCAGTTAAAATTTCAGAATAGTAAAATATTTCATTAGACTATAGCTTTAATTTTGATGTGCGTTGATCAATTAGAAATCTTGTCAAATATTTTTATTTGTATCTCTCTAGTGTGAAAAGACTTGGAACTTAATGGAACAGCTGGAAGATCTTCAAATAATTTCTCATGTTAAACAACTACAGGAAGATATATATACCATGAAAACATGGTCTAGCAGCCTAATTAAAAAAAAAGAAGAACTTCAGAAGAATTTAACAACCCTTTCTCATGCAGTTACAAGTATGGAGCAGAATACAGCTTCTGTAGCAAAAAATATAACTTTGAAGATTGTGACAGTAAAAACTGACTTAAGGCGCATTTCAGGCCTAGTTTCAGATATGACTGCATTGACAGATTCTTTACAAACACTAGAAGATAAAGCAGATAAAGGTGAAAAAAAGACAGTAGAAAACATAGGTGACCTCCTTACCAGTAGCATTGACCGAAGTACAAAGCTACAAAGCTTGGCAACCAATAATGCAAGAAAAATTGAGCAAATTAAGACAGCATTATCAGAGTTAAGGAGTGATTTTAATAAACATTCAGATAGACTTTTGAATCTTGAAGGTGAAAGAGCAAAGGTTCTGAAGACAGTTACATTTGCAAATGATTTAAAACCTAAGATGCACAATCTAAAGAAGAATTTTGCCATCTTGGAACCATTGATAAATGAACTTACACTGAGAATAGGAAGATTAGTTGAGGATGTATTACGACGGGAGAAAGAAATTGCTTTATTGAATGAAAAATTGACCAATTTAACAAGAGTTCAGACTGAGATCAAAGATATGAAAGATGAAATAACCAAGATTTCAAACATGAATTGATCACTGTGAAATGGCACTGCCTAAAGAACAGTGGTGTTTGAGGCGTGTTAACTTCGTTATGCAAGGCATGAAGAAGGAAGGCAGTATTTAAAGGCTTCATTTAGAAGCATACTGCAACTAACTAGAAGCTTGTCCTCTCTCCTTGAAGAGGACAGCAAAACTCATACTGATTTCAAGGAACAACAGTCAAGCTATATATCAGCAAAGAATGTGTCTGTGTGCACGTGTGTGTCTTTCTGAAGGATGACAGGTGCTATATTTAATAAATTGCTTGTTTTTTATAATAAAACAGCGTTAAAGCATAAAACGTTGTTCTTAACTATGGAGTTTGCTTTCACGAATAAAGCAAGACCCAAGACTGACGTTTTCAGCTTTTATTTGCTGCTCTGAAGGAAGGAATAAAATTGTGGTCTTCAGATAGAGTTTAAACCCAGGTTCTTAAAACTGCAATAGCAGTTTAGTATTTGTCTCAGTACATTAACTTTATGATTTTTCTAAACTACAACAGTTTCCTTTTTTGAAATCAATCTATATTTAAAGAGGATGCAGGGATGCAGGGATGATCAGAATTACTGCTGAAGCTCTGAAAAAAGTTTGTTCAGCATTTTGATGGAATAATTTGTATAGGATTTTTGGTGAAGAGTTTCTGTGAATTGCAATCACTTCACTGTGCAGCATTGTTAGGTTTATAAAACAGAACCATGTTTATGGGTGAGCATTTTCCCGAAACACCTACTAACCTTACTGATGGCCTTTTCCCAGTGTTACTGTATCCTTTCAGGAATCCTAACAGCATTATTAATTCATTGTTAGCCTGTAAAATACTACAGTGAGCAGCAAAATTAGCTGCTCAGAAGTGTAACTAAGTTCAGTATTAGTCACTGGCAGTATTTCTGTGGCAGAGTTTAAGAGATCTGAGACGCATTTGAAAATGCGGGAGGGCATAGACTAAGCTTAGCAGAGGAAAGGGGGAACTGCATTATATAGAATAGCAATGACTAAAAAACAATGAGGAGAGATGCAGCAATTGCGAAAATCCTTATAAACAAAATCGTATCGAGACCTATTAGCCCACAGTAAGGCCTTTATAACTTCTCAATTGCTTATTTGGTCATACCTGAACATCTTGCAGCTGATGGGCTATTGATTAGATAGAAAATATAGTTGTTCCCCTCCCTCTCTATTGTCATCCTCATTCAGCATTTCACATCTTTTGGCCTTCTTCATGTTGCTGGTCTTCTGTACGCTGCTTGCTTGCTTTCCTTCGGTCAGCCTTAAGTGCTTTGTTTCATCAAGCTTTTCTCTTTTTTTGCTATGGGTCCATTCCTATCCAATTTCCTTTTACCCCCTTCCAGTCTACCTGACATCCCACAAGGATCGACCTCTCAGAAGACAAGTCATTCCAGAAAGCATTCACAGATACTAGCTGCCAACCTAGTCCCTTTGCAGTGCCCCTTTGCTCTTTCACAAAAAAGTCTTTGAAAAATAACCTGAGGGCCTTTGAAGGTGACAAAAATGAAAGGATATCCAAACAATCAGCCAGTGATACTGCTGCTACGGCATGGGTTGCCTGGGATACCTGAAAATATATATACATTTCATAAAGAGTTTTGAGGTTACATATTAGATGTATCTCATTTGTACATTAAGATATATTCACTGAATCCACCACCTTTGGTTTTCTCTGTGCAAGCTCATGTTAGTCTTGGCAAGGAGAGCACCTAGCAAAATAGACATGGTTATCAGAAGAGAATTGATACAGTTGCATGAGAAATCTATCCCAAGTGTTATTCACATTTTCATACTCTTCCAGTCTTATAGTTCATAACGTATTTGGGATAATGTGATGTTTTCTCACTAAAATAATTATACAGCTAATATTAAAATATAAATTAAGCATTTTCTGTCTAGATTTTCCTAATACAGATAGAGAAGTAGATACATAGATACATATAGGTAGTTAGATATTAATCTGAAGGAAAATACTTTGTAGTTTTGGGTGCTTTTTACTATTCTGAAGCAAGAGGCCATCTTATCTTGTGGATTGTCTTCTCTATAAATCAAACAAGGCATATGGGAAGTTACTGTTCCAGCCTTTAGAGGGAAGCAGTCTTAAAGACAGCATGACAAAATTTCTTTATATAAAGCTAAAAGATCAGGAGAAAAGCGCCCTGGCTTCCAACACCATCTTCCTAAATTACTAGGCTTAGATCATGTTTCCAAACTCAGTGTAGATTCCTTGTCATAGGAAGCAGTATTAATGAAATCCAGCAGTGCGTGACTGTTGAATCAAAAGGATGGTTACCTTCAACTGAAGACTGATCAAAAAATGTGTACCATCAGGTGATGACTCAGCAACAGCATGCCTGATGCTTTATAATCGTAATGGACCTGCAGGACAAAAAATTCCTAAAACCTTAGCTTTGCATTTTTCTCAGGTTAGCTTTTCCTAATTACAAGTTGTGGTAATATACAAAATACAGGTTGTGTTACAGACAAAAAAAGCTTCAACCCAGACCTTTAACATGTTCTGAACTAAGATGCAGTTTTACAATACAATGAGCCTCTCCTAAATGATAGCACTGGCACTCATCTGACTTTAGCTTCAATAATGACTCAGCATGGACAAAGCCCCTCTCTTTCCCCCTTCCCTTATTCCCTTATTTTTAGTAATGTTCTTGCACTGTTTCCAAATCCAGGTCACCATCCAAAGGTGGAATATATATGGTGCAACAGTACGGATTTTGCCCAGGGAAAAATGACTATAGCCCACATGATCCAAGTAATCTGCTGGTAACTTCTATTATCAACTTTGAATAAATCGGTTGTGGTCAGTGGCTAGTGAAAATCTTGATAGCAGAGCTAGAAAACCAATTGGGCATTACTATTTTTGGTCCAAAATATAACAAATATGTAGGTTTTTTCATACAAATATACACTGTCCACAATGAAGAGATTCGTGTCACAGAGAAGAAACCTAAACCAAGACTTTTGACTGAAAAAAGGAACTGTGCAACCATCACGAATTATGAAAAGGTGAGTGAAAATAATCTGAATGTATCGTAAGGATCTCAGATTTTTGACTAATGTGAAGATTACTTGTCTAAACAAAATCTTCACTTATTTTTTAATCTACACGAGTGAAGTGAAAAATACGCTCTGGCTGCACAGTTGATCAGAGAAGACTAGCCTAACAAATAGGTCTGTTTTGGATGAAAAGAGTGCACGCTGTCTCTCTGTTTGATACAGCAACCAGAAAATAAGTAGCCACGATAAACAATAACTGTCCGTTTCATTTTCAAACTCCAAAATTAATCATCTTCAAATACTACCTTAGAATACATCTATCTAACAGTGAAAAGCTTGATAATACAAAGTCCCATTCATTATCTCCATAGGAAGTTAAATGGTTCTGAAACATTTTCCCCATGCTTCATCTACCCTATCTATCTAAGGGTATTGGAGACCATCCTTCCTTCCCAGGAAGTTCAGGCCCAAAATATTATGATCCTTTTCAGAAACTTTGTTGCCACAAGCAAGAGAGAAGTTTAAGTCACTGAGGTAAAGTTTACTTGCCAAAAAAGAAGAATTTGGCTCCTACAAACAGATCCAAGTTTACACACTGACTGTAACATCTTCAGAAATACAACAAGAGGCCAGTCATAGTCCCATAAATTAGAGGTATTATAAATCTGTTTTGCCCTTCCAGCACACACCTCCGCTGTACTAAAAAATTAAATTGAAATTTTAAAGTAGCTTTGTAATTACAATGGTCTAAGGATATATGCAAGTTTGCTCTAGCGGGGAAAAGATGAGGCAAAGGATGTGGAATTTTTCATAAGCTTAGAACAGCCTACCAAACTTGCCATCTTGGTTTAGTATAATCAACAGTGGGGGGTATACCAGCTCACTAAAGCTACAATCCTTAATTTGCTTCTAAGGGCGCTCAACAACGTTCTCTACAATTTTAGTAAGTGATTGAGATACTAAAGTAATATAATAACGCTAATTACAGCTATGCTACTTAAAACTTATCATCCCACAGCCTAACCTGTAATGATATTCAGGGTTAATCTTTAATCAAAGATTAAAATCTTTGATTTTAATTTAATAGGTAAATATAGAACTAGCCAATACACAGTAATAGTGTAAGTGTTGAAAACCTAAGAGAGAAATAATTCTGACCCATTAAAATCTACTTTTAGATACTGGAACATCTGCTCAGCCAGTAAGTTTTTGTTCGTGACATCCTTTCCCCATGCGACTTGAGCTATGAAAATTGTATCCTGTAACAAAGCCATTTAACTATTAAGCTCAGCTATCCAAGAGGTAATCATATTCACTATGAAAAAGCAGGATGTTTATTGTTTTCACTATGAACTACATCATTTCTATGTAGAAACGTAAATGAATTACAACTCTTTGTAATATTATAGTCCATTTTAGAATATGTAACAAGCATTTCAGCAAATATCTGCAATGTCAAATAATGTTAGCATATTTGTAGTATAATCTGACACAAACACAGGGTGTGAATGGAGTGATTATTAAAATTTATATAGACGATATGTTTTAAACCAGAAAACTGGTCTCAGCTCCAGTAATAGCAAAAAGGATGATTCCTCTTTCATAAAACAATATACACAACCAGCATATACATAATCCACATTTTACAAAGCACTCTCGGGTTTAGTGACAGTTCTGGAGTTATCTGAACTATATTTGGTTCAAAATGGATTGCTCTTTTTCAACATAGGACTTTCCTTGCAATGAAAACACAAGTCAGTCAGAAGCATTGTCCCAGTCTTTCACCACCCCCCCCACCCCAATCTTCCCTATTTTTGGGAAACATACCACACATGCTATAAAGGACATTGTCATCGGTGACAAAAACTGACTTTTAAATGTCTTTTAATACTACCACTTCCCACTCAAGCTCACTTAAAATTTCACTGGGCAACCTTTTGAGCAAGATCATTTTAAGTGTCATATACCCCTCCACCTGAAACATCAGAACAAGCCTGTGCCTAAATGTCAATGAAGTTAATAGTTGCAAGGCAATTCTCTTCCCCTCTCAGGTTTTCCACTGAAACGAAATGCTGAAAGTAGGACTACATATATTTTGCCTTTCTCAGTTACAAAAGAACAAGAGAACAGCTGGCTGTCATGTAGTCTTATCCCAGATTTACCTCAACAAAGCGATCTGAGTGTCTTTAAAAAGGTAGTTTCAGGCCATCCTTCAGCAATTAGAAAACAAATCTGTAAGTCTTATTGCACATATTTAAAATGACTGCACCAAAGGCAACCAACAGTCTTTCTACAGAAAAACTGCTGTGGTTTTGCTTTGCACGTGCAATGACAGAAATTAGTCTTGCTTGAGACGATCAGCTTATCCCTCGATTACGCAAAAATCAAATTATCCCTCTGTGTGAGACAAGTCGCCTCAATTCTCTACCAGCCTTAAAAGCTGATGGAAATGCTCAGCTTTCCCAGGATCAGAAGAAACTTGAGATGCTTTCCAGCAAGCAAAGAAAAGCCCAAGGGCTTAAAACACACCTTTAAAGAAACTACGATGCTCAGTGCACTGAAGTGATGGTAATTTGTTTTTGAGCAGAACAAGTTGAACCATGTGCAAAAGCTAAATTCAGAAAGCTGTTTTAACGTGAACAGTCTTAACGCAAGATGAAACCATAGGTAATGCTTTTCACCAAGAAAGCTCTTATGAGCAAATGTCCTAATGATTTGCTAAATAACTTCAAAGCTTCTCCATCCGCAACGGGCACAGCAAGATGTACATGCTTACATGATGAAGTAAAATACATTTAATTCAACACCAAAGTACTTGTACAAATGTTTTATTTAGACTTAAGAAATTTGACTTTGCTGTATAATGCAGTTACTAGGCGGTAGTTACCGACCACTATAGGAGTGCATCTATAGTGTCACAGTGACAGGGAAGTTGAGCAGTGTTTTTCTTAGATTTTACTCCACATTTTGAAAAGTAGCAATTCAAAATAAGGCTGTTTGCTAGTGTTTAGCATAACTGCTCCACATCTCAAAAGTCACAGATTTTTCCGGGAGGAAAACTCATTATTGTGTAAAATGGGAGCAGAAACAATGTCAGACACTAATAAGGTACGGGAGCTAGTCTATTTGTGATATTCCAATAGAGCCTCCTGTAACTGGCCTTCTGACTCTGAAGGACACTGAAGAGGAAGGAGCACTTACAACCTATGCAACGCCAAGCTAGATTGAATATCATCAGCTCAGAATACTGAAAGGCAGCATATCCAAACAGTTTTGCACAAGACACTTAGGCTCCAGCTCTACTCAGTGAGCAAAGTAGTACTGGATATAGTGAACCTCCTTTACTATTAGGTATGCTTTGGATTTTTCTTATTGTGATTATCTACTATGGATTCTTGAACAGGCAAAACTCAAAAGGGAGCTGTGCTCCTGTTTCCAGAAAGTACTAGAAAGGATACATCCATTGCCTGAAGCTAATAAAACATTGCTTGAGTTTTTCCTCTTACTTGCCTCAAGCCTATAGCATTCTTTGCATTAAGTAAGAGCCAAAAAAATTGTTTGGCTTCTTGCACTGCAAAAATGGTTCAACCAAAACTCAGTGTTACAGTTACACTAATTTAGCCAAAATCAAGATATAAAAGTACCAAGTGCAAGGAAAGGCTGGTAAGTTCGTCAAAATCTCTACAGTATGAGGCAAGCCATTTTAACTTTATTATATAGTTGTACTAAGCTTTTAGTGGTCAAATACCTTTGAGAATCTTTAGTAACATCAACCCTCCTTTCTTAAGGGAGCAGCCACTGCTTTATTCCACGATACAAATGAAAGGACTAAGTTCTTTGGTGCAGTTCAAGAGCAATAAAGGCAGGAATTAGTCATCTAAGCAGGGGTTATGTTGGGATAAGCACTCCAGATCAGTAATGGTTCTATGTATAAGGTTCTTCTCATCTCTCTGAAGAATGCAGATGTTGTGATCAGGTTGCCCTGTCAGAGCATAGTCTCATTCATTCCAGAGTTCCGCTACTCTACGGTAACAATTGATATAGGCAAATAAGACAGTGGACTCAAAGATAGCCTAAGACTGCAGTTAGTTTCTGCAGCACTGTGAGGACAGGCTCTTAGCTCTTCTCTAGAAGCAATGAAAACCTGTTTTTTGTTGCAGTTCTCCCCCCTCCACACACAATTCTGCAATCCTTTAAATGCAGAATGACTTATATTTTTCATATTGGGAAATATTTGGAAGTCTTTACTTCTGTGAAGTGAAGCTTATATATGCAATAGTAACAAGACACTAAGCACTCTGGTTCTCATTTATTTCAGGCAATGACAGTGGTAGAAGTTAAACCCTCATATGGGACAGGGGCACAGCCAATAATTACATCAGATAGTTTGCTTTCTACATAGTCAAATATATAAAAGTTTCATGAAACTCATCACTGGGACAGCCAGCAAAGTCAGTCCATGAGTTGTTTATTCAGCTAGACCAAGCTTCTTCTTCAGAGATTCTGGCATTTCAGGTGGAGGCGGACGAGGAAGTCTGAAATAAACCTTCACAGAATCATAGATGAACCACTGTAGTGCAGTCAGGGTACCAATCATAATGATACGAGCAAAGAGACCTTTCCATACACCTGTAGAGCAAAACCATAAACCAAAAGAAGTGTAAGCAGCCATGAAAAATAATCCCCACCAAAACATACACCCTCCCCCCTACACTTAACACAAAATACATGAATGAAAGAGTTGAGGGGGTTTTTTTTGTTTGTTTGTTTGTTTTTTTACCTCTGAATCCAAGCCTCACGAGAACCTGTGAAGCGGAACTGCCCTTTTCCTTATTCAATACAGACACCACAGAGTCAGCAGGATGAGAAACAATTGCACAGAACACACCAGCTGAAAGAGTAATTTGTTATTAGTTCTGTGATCTTTTAGTGTGTACAGTAATTATTTGGCTAAGTCTGACCAACTAAAAACCACACCTTCCCTAGACCACTGGTAAGTTGCACAGAAGTTATGTCAAACTTCCTGGTATTCCCAAAGAACAACAGGTCTATTCTTATTAGCATGACATGTCTACTAGAAAACACCTAGGCTCTGCTGCTTGCTGCACCTGCCTTCTGAAACAAAACCTGTTCTGCATCTTTGGATGTTCAAAATCACCACTCCCTCAAAATTTCTCCCCCCTTCCTCCTTCCACCTTCCTGTACCTCCTCCAGCCTAGCAAAAATGCAGGTTCTTTTGCTTACATCAGCTCTAGTCTCTAAACTTTGAAATTAACATAGGAACAATTAAGAGTATTGCCCTACTACAGAGCCATTTAACCTCTCATTCTATTTACAGGTTGAATCTGTTCCACCCCCTCATATCCCTCCCCCTCCATGTTTAAGTCACATTCAAGCTCTCCCATTGTAGTGTTTGTATATACTTGATATTCTGAAAAGGGCGAGACTTTCACAATTACTGAAGTCCATTAGTGAAGTGTAGAATTTAAAGGTTTCTTACCAATATAACCTGCAATAAATGTGACTACCAGCTGTTCTGGCTTTGAACATTCACTTCGTGGCTTGGGAACTACATACTTGTAGAGGGCTTCAACAGTACGTTCAAAGCAGGCAAATTTCATCATTGTGTATGGAATTTGTCTCATCCATAGCGGAGCAACACCTTTATAGAAACTTAAACAGAGAAGACAAACTCAACTTCATTTTCCTCCAGTATTTAAGGGCATATTTCTAACCTGAACAATTAGTTAGCTTATTGTTGGTATCAGGACAATCACTTCTAGGTAGTGAGACGGTAAGCCTAAGCGTTCCAAAACCTACAGAACAAGAACCCATGAGTTTTATTAGTTCCTGAGTACGTACTAAGAACAGAAGCACAAGTCTGAATTTACCTGAGACCTACTCTGTGCAGCTGTTTGTAGTCACTTTTCAGATTATAATGGAGTGCAATAACACAGTACTGCTAATACAAGTACGTGCTCATGTCTGCATACCAGCCGAGTCCTGACAGTGATAAATGGCCTGTAGATTTACAGCCACTTTTATCAGAACAGAAAGCTAACATGCAGTTATATTACTCTCACATGCCAATGACTCAAGCATCTTTGACTGTACAACCAAAAAAGTTGCTGAATATCTCTGACTGGAACTGCTAGGAATTGCAGTTATCCAGCAGAACTCAGCACAGAGATACTCACAAAGATGGATCTAAGGAGCATGTTGAAATTAACTACTAGTTCAGCACAGATTCCCCAATATTAAATACTTGTTGTCTTGAACTGAAAAGACCAAGAAGAATTAGAAGTTGATGTTAAGCTAAAGCCACTATTCGTTTTAGCAACCCTCTTTCGTTAGGAAAAGGCTCAACATCAAGAACATGAATCAGAATAAAAAATTCCAAGAGGTACTAACGCCCAGATGCCTTCTTCTCCAAACATTTTTGGTAAAGCTTGCCGCAAAGTGTTAGCATATCCAGGCTGTGTCTGAATGCGAACTTTAGCAGCTTCCATGGGAGCCAGAGCAATGTCAGCAAAAAACTCCGCACTGGCAGATGCAGCTAAGTATAGTGATGTACGCCACAAATATGCATTTTCCTGAAACGTATTTAAACACACATTGTAAGTAATGAACAGTGGTTTTGTGTTTCCTCTATGTCAGAGGCACTTTCACATTGCTAACATATAGTCTCACGTAGACCACTTAAGGCTTACCTCTCCCAGCATGTTGCCATAGAGGATTTTGAAAACTTCATAGAAACCAAATTTACAGAGCCCTTGCATGGAATATCCAATAAATGTTGGAGCCCATCCCTTAGCCAAACCACGAAAACCATCTTCTTTGATTGTCACTGAAAATCCATTGAAGATGCTCTTGTATTTTTGTGGGTCAACCTGAACAGAACAGACAGTTAATTGCTTGATATATTTTATTCTTTCCTTTCTCCCACCCCCACCCCAAATATAAAATTGTTAAAATCCACATACAGCTTTCTATAGCTCCCTAGATAGTGCTGTCACCACAAGGTTACCTCCTTGATAGAACTGTAGTGTTTGTCTGCGAGTTTCAAAACTTATTTAAACTGCCTGTATGTCCATCAGTACTCCAGAAGAACCAAAGTACCTGAACTTTGCTTTACATTTATTCTCCACACCAACAGTAAGACAGTACTACTCTACATCAATAACATTTATTGGAGTCATTCTTCTAACACTGATCATACTATACTGATACAGTCATGTTTAGATCAGGTTCTTCAAATCCGACACTTTCTATCAGCAATTTCATTCTAGAAGAGTTTTGCTAGAAATGCTATTTGGGATGCTACTTTTCACTCCGTAAAATATTGCACCTATGCCATATATCAAGTCTGAAGATTCACTTTATTATTCATCAGCAGTTACTTGTCCGTTACTAGTTTGATCCCTCCAAACACGGTCAGGCTAAGACAGATGGAGAAAGGCAGATCAAAGAGTGCTCAAGAACTTCTACGCTTGTACATTGTCACACTTTGCCTTTACAGTAAGGGCTACAATATGAAATATTTTCTATATACAAAAATGTTGAGTGAGGTTTCATTATTAACTTATCAGATCCTAGAAAAAAGACTAAATAATTTTGTTTTATGAGGATCCGTTTAGTAGAGTTTATGAAGCGGGTCATTCTGACAATTTCTAAGTCATCTCACATTACCACTTTTCATATCTGATAATCATCCACCATCGCCTCAGAGGGATGAAAAAGAATACACAAATTAAAAGCAAACTGAAGTTCTAGAAGGAGCTATGGGACGCGCACACCAAACTGCGATGACTGATATTTTACTCATCTCACACAGCAGCAGCCTAATTGAGAACTAATTCACCTAGACGACTCCGTTTTAAAAGATATGGAATTTCAGAACACTAGACATGTAATTGTTGATTGTGTACTGCAAAACAAGGCAATGTTCACATCAGGACTACACCTATCATCTACATAAGAGGTGACCTCTTCTTAAAATGGCAGGAGAGGGCAGGCAATGGGTTTCTTCCTAGAGAATCTAGGAAGGATTAGTAGCGTGCTCTCTCTACTGGACCGATAAAGAGAGAAATGCTGATAGGTTTTGCAAGGTCACACCTGGAAGTCATGCGCAAGGCCTTTCTGTTGCACATTCCTTAAAGTGCTGGAGAAGGGGAAGCGTAGTCACCCTCGTTACATAAGAGGCCCAGAAACGGTGACCCAAGCCGAACATATCCACCAAGCAGCTGGAGCCTTGGAAGCAGGAGGCCCTGCTCCCAGTGTTAACTTCAGCACTGCATGGCTCTCAGGCCTTCCACCCATGAACCCAACTGGCAATCAGATTAAGAAACGCTTGTTATGTTACATCCTCTTTATTCATGAGGAAACTCCTTCCCAGAAAACCCACCCTTAGCCCTACATCATCAAGCTACCCATCTTGGATACTTAAGACATATGCTGTCAGTTACAATAAAACAGAGCATTTAAACTACACTTTCAGAAATAAACAGGTGCTCAACTCCAAGTACTCTCCTAGAGCAGGGACAGAGAATTCTCACACACTTAATTTGGTCTCTTTCCAAATTTTGTAGAAGGCATCATTTGCCCTTACCTGATGCACCCTGATTTTATCCAGCATATTACAGAATTGCTAGCTTGAGGGCAGAATTTCAGGTTTTCTCAAGTAAGCAAAAAAGCTGGTGTTCTCTTGTAAAGAATGCTAAAGATCTTTGGAAGAACACTTCTCAAGAATATCACATGCAGTACTATAGTCGATAGTCTGACCAATTTCACTTCACTTCTCTCCCAATTTCACACAAGATAAGACTGCCACTTTTAGAATTAGCATCACCCTATGCAACAGGGATGCCATTAAGCTACCAGATTTCTAGAAATTTAGAAGTGTGCTTTAATGTGCTACATTCTTGAAGCACAGATTTGACTGAATAAATCCACGAGTATACTTTTATCCATAACTGTTCACTAGATGATTTTAATAGTGAAGCTGACATCACAAATTAACCATAATGAGATTTCACTCCTTTGGGTTCAAATCAAGAACCACTTCTATCACTTCGAAGACACCAGCCACACAAGCACTTAGCTAGGTGTAGCAATACCATTATAAGTTTTACCTATTTTGTCAAAAGTGGAATCATTAGGAAGCATCAATCCATAATCCATGCAGCAATGGTCACAATGTTAATGGATCAAATTATACATGCATGTCACTCCACGGTAAAAATCTGAACCCAACAAGCTCTTTGAAACACCAAGATTCTACTTCCTTCCTTCCAAAGCACATGAATAGTCCTAGATAGCCTGCCAGCAAAGAACAACACTGTGGTGGGTGTTTTTGAGTAACTATGATCATATAAACATGTTTTAAACGCAGGCACAAATAGTTAAATTCATCCAGATTATGCTATGTGCCTCTGCTTCTGTTGAGGTGGTATTTTGTTAAGTCTCACAGCAGTAGACCTAGTTAGGAGAAACAGAAACGAAATATATTTGCTTCCTGATATCCACTTACTATAAATTCTTGATATGCTGGCTACACAGAGAAAAAGTTTAAGAAATGTTGAAGTTAATACAAACCTGCATACGACATTTCACTAAATCCAGAGGTACGACAGCAGTGTGTGTCAGGCCACAACTTAGGACCCCACCAAAGCCACAGAGAGCATAAAACTTGAGCGAGCCATATTCACAACTGTATTCTGCAGCAAAAAATAGAGACACACCATGCTTTTACATAAACTCCATGCACTGCTGGACAATTACATCCAGTGGATAGTTTACGTCTCTAATTTATTAGTAGATTATTTAAATCACACTAAACATGCTTTTATCAACTCCACCACATACTGACATGCAGAACAAACCTGCATTCTGCATTTAACCAGGTCTAGAGGAACCAGTGCTGTATGTGTTGTTCCACAGCTAATAATCCCACCAAGGCCACAAAGGACAAAGAATCTGCCTGAGCCATATGCACAGCTGTATTCTAGTTAATTAAAAAGAAAATAATTACATATATATGATCAACCACACATAGTAATGAAGATCAGAAAAGAAACAAAGTTGATGACCGAGTGCTAGCTTCTTAGAGCTTTTAAACTGAAATAAGCTCCCACACTATACTATTCAACTATAGCATTAAGCTCAAAATTAAATTTGCTTGCTTTAACTAACACATTTTCGACTGACAAGATTGATTCTAGGCCTGCCAATTAGAGTTTATTCTTTTTAAAAAGTTATTTAAAAAGTCAAGTTTTAGCTCACAGTGTACTTGCACATTATCCTGATTTAAGTCTGTAAACCATAAAAATTAATCCCAGAAGCTGCTAGCAGAAATCATGACTCAAAGCTGCAACAACCAACTTTTTTTTTAATATTGAGGAATTCAGCAAACAGAGTGCTTCTCTAGAATTCTGGGGACAAAGTTTCTTTGCTTAAATATTTTACGATCAGTGCAACTTCTGTATTTAAGCTCCTCATTTCCAAAACTCTACCCGTTTGTGTTCGTTCTTCTTGATGGAACGCAACGCTATGGCTTTAAAGTATCTTGTGCTTTATTTATTGCTAATTGTGGAGACCATTCAAATCTACAAGATTAAGGTAGAACTAGTCCTCATTCAGATTTTTTTAATTCTCTGTATCATTTCAAAATTTAAGCTTCATATAAGAATTAACCAAATCTGAAATTCAGCAGAGCAACATCAGGACTGTTCCCATAATAGTTGCTCTTTAGCAACAGGCTTCACAAGAAGATAACCAGAAATCCAGAAACCATGCAAACATCTTCGGGACGCTATTCCAGTTCAGCCTTATTCAACAATGAATAGCAGATAAAAGTTACAAATGGAGCTGTCCTCCCCAAAAAGTGAGACAATAGGTCTTCCCCTTTTCATATAGCTACTGTTAAAGGACACAGAAAAAGAAAACCTAGAAGACTTAAGTAGTCATCCAGCAACATCTAAAACAGCTAGGGAAAAACGGTTTTTTCCCCCCCCAAAACAGGACCTCAGACTTATAAAGTTTCTGTTTTATCAAGTTCTAGAATCTTATGAAAATTAATCGGGACATTTAATGTTTGTATTTAATAAACATGCTTCATTAAAGAAGCTTTCAGGTCGCATGTAATCAAGGGATACTGATCTCACACTGTTCCATATATTACTGTGTATATGGGCCATTCGGTCCTAATGAGCAAATTATTTTCACAGATTCCAATACAGCAAACAAAGTTACTGCAGTTGAAAACAAACCAACAAACAAACAAGCATCAGTTTCTCTTCCAATTTGGAAGAAGCTATAGAGAATAAGAACTATTATTTACTACCAAGAAGCGCTCAGATTACTAATAACAGTACCAAAAAAGCATAAGGCAGTGGCCAACTTCTGTTTTCGTGCTAAACATTTTAAATATATAAACAAAGCCAAAAGTAAGATATTGAGCAAGCATATGGAAAACAATACACTAGGTAGAAAATTGTCCCTAGTATAAAAATGGATAATTTAAGTTCCTTTGATATTAGATCTAGGAGCGTTACTCCAGTATAACGGAATAGCCATTAAAACGTTACAATAGCTAGTGAGAACCATCTCCAGAGAAGCTTTAATGAAAGTTAACACACACATTAAAAAAGCTATTTTAGTCAGGGCTTCTTTACCATGTATTTTTGCTCCTGAAATAAATTCCTTTAGGAACATCAACAAAAATTTCTCATTACATTCAACAGCATCTACAGATTACCACTTAAGACTAGCAGGTTTATCCAACTCTTTACTCCCCAACTATAAAAGAACTTCTTCCCAAGAACATTCCAGATCTTACATTAAGTCTATTTCTAGCCCCCTTCTTCAAAAGGTGATCACCAGGACAATAAAAAGTATCATTTTTTCTTTATTCTGAAAGAAGAAATCCAAAATTGCAGAGATAGTATTAACTAAGCCCAGACGTACAGCTAGTAGTCAGTTAACTATCAGAATGCCATATAATCTATGAGAATTTTCAAAATTGAGATATCACTCAAGGCTACAAATATGCTAGTCCTGGACTAGCACATACCTAGAGCCTAAACAGCATGGTTAGGCGGGCTGCTTTCCAAACAGGGGTAGGTAACATTCTGTTTAAAACTGTCGTAGTCAGAATGACTGGTTAAACGGACATAAATGAGGCTTTCAATGCAGGTGCAGTCAGAGAACAGCCTGGGCCTGAATTACTGGGCATCTATGCCTAGCTCTATCTTTGGCCTGCAATATGCCAGTACCGTGGTACTTACCATGCTGCCCAGATACCAAGAAGTGTTTGTTCAAACTTCCTTTTTCAAGGCAACTTAATGTCAGAAGTCATACTTCTCAGCTGACAGAGGCAGACCTTGGTAGAAGCTTCCAGCCACAGAAAACTACAGCTTTAAAGGCCTGCCTTATTACAATGGTATTCAGATTGATCTGTCAGCTGGGTGTTTAAAAACACTAATTAAGAAGAGTAAGGCATCATCAATTAGGCTTAAGCTCATTACAGGCACTTCTGTTTGCAGTGGTACGGTAGCATTATGAAAAAAGCCATAGTGGCTCCCAGACTTCGTATTTCAGAAGTGTAATCCCCTAAAAACTGTCTTGACAAAAATAAAGCTGAGATCCAATAAGCGTTACATGAAAGGAGAACCGGCTAACCAACACAGCACAGAAATGCTTGAATAACTTTCCTACTGTCTATAAGCTGACTGAAAATCAATGAAGCTAGCTCAAATACAAATACAGCTCAAAAACATGTTAAGACAGCTAAAAACAAATAACATCATAACTAAGGCTGTTTCATTGCCTTGCTTGAGATCTGACACACTAATAGGGACAATTTCCAAGAGCTGATCATAAAACGTCTCCTTGCCTCTGAGACGCATTAGGGTTGATGCCTTGAACTGAATTCGGAAGGTCTTGTAATCTGTGCTGACTTTGCATGACCTTGGGTAAGCTCTTAACTTCTGCAATATGGTCACTCTCCTAACGCAAAGGCTAATGAAAGAACGAAGAACCAACTGGTACGTGAAACAAGCACAGCACAAAGAACTATCAAAGACAAAGAAACTCAGGTCACTTCTGACTGCATCTGCCTACAAACAAGACGAAGATTAAACATTATGATTTTAAGAAATAAGTGCACCTACTGAACATAATTTAACATACTGAGCAGTGTCTAACATGCTTTAGTTACTAGTTAGCTAGTAATAAGATGACTATTAAAGTAAAAAGTACGTTCTTGAAGACACACTAAAATTCAACATCAAGTTCTAGGTCTCCTGCACAGATTATACAAATATTTGTTTCAGAGCACTAAGATACTTCAGTAAACATAGTACTTCATAAAAGGTAGCTAGTTCACAGCATTATTTCTATTTGAATCTTTTTGATAAAAAGGATAGTCAAGCAGGTACTTTAAGCTATCAAAAGATTAAAAGAATTCTAGCATCTACTTCCACTATTGGGAGTATCATCAATGTCTGACTTTTGGAAGTCATGGCAGAAAACACACCTGAAGCACCTGCACTTAAGTCTAAAACACATCACTACATCTTAAGACACCGCAGCTATATAGCATATGTCCCACAACAACTAAGGAAAAAAAAATCCCAAAACACAGCTGCAGACTCCTCTAACAGCTACAGGTGTACAGATGTTCAGATGTCCAGCTGTGAAAGAAGAGCAAAAAAAAAAAGAGGGGGATTAGGGGAGGGGGAGGGAAGAGGAGACATTGTCTTGCAAACCCAAAACTCATCCACGTTCAGTGATTTGTATCCTGCTCTTCTCCACACCAAGAAAGAGAAGTACGGGCCTGCAGCTTCAATCCCCAAGGTTGCAGGCCCAGCAGAGCAGGCAAAAGCAATCTCTCATCCACAAAAGAGTCAACATCGAGGGTATCCGTAGCTCCCCTGAACTAGGACCTTTCTGTGTCCTTCCCCGAGATCACCGGGTCCTTGGTACCAGCCAGCACACACCGTGCGGGGAGCGGAAGAGGCTACCAGCGCCTCCCCCGCCCGTGCCCTTCCT